GTTAAACAGATTTACTAATCAATATCTAATATTTGTTCTATTTATTAGATATGTGGCGTCCGAAATTAGAAATTTTTTCCATTAGAAGTCTTAAAAATCTTCGGATTGATACTACTCGCCAAATTTTCTTGTTAACGATTGTTTATAAAGATCCTGGAAGAAAAAAATGCATAAAACTGCAAGAAGGAAAGTAATAATATCGCTCCATATAGCAAAGCAATATGTTACAAAAGTAATAACAGTAATGAAAATAACAGAAAAAATAATATAATAGCAACAGTAAGGTAGTAACATTATTTCCATGTTCACCAATATCTCAAGCGAAGAGTTATGCTCTGGAGTGTTTAACGAACAATGCTTGAAAGAAAATTTTACCTGCACATTCGAAAAGGTTAATAATTTTCTTCGGAGGGGTTTTCTTTCCTTGATCTCGGGATGTCTATTTTGATGTAGAATACAGAAATAAAATCCTTTTGTCTTCATTAACAGGATCTCTTTGTTAACAGATATAGCACTACAATATTTAAAACTTTTGTAATAAAGTATTGACTATTAGGATGAAGTATTGGTGTTGAAAGAAGCTTTGGAAAAGATGAACTGTGTATTTACATAAACTATATACTTATTCAAGTGGAAATAGTCATCATATATTAAACTTCAATATGTTACAAGATAATAATTATTTACGTGTAAACAACTTAATTACAGATTCAACACCAAATAAGAATGCTATTTTAATATGAACAAAAAAGCGGGAAGCTATTTTAGACTAGCAACAGATCGGTGAGTAATTGATGAAGATTTAAGGTAGTAAATATCAAAGCTATTGTGAGAAACATGTGATTTTACAAAACTCTGTACATAAATCATTGGACATATTCATTGTAATATTTCATAATATTGCTATATTTGAAATTTGTGATAGAGTGATTGGAACATCCTACATTTAAAAATCAACATATTTGCTTCAAAAAAGGATTGCGTTTTTTTTTTTTTTTATACTGATTTCACATGAAAAATTTCAGCTATGCAAAAATTGCAATTTATGATAAAATCATACTGATGAAATGCTCGTTAGGTATTGCTCATTCACTTAATAATTATGTTTTTGGACGAGATAAAGGTTGAAACGATGACGTCATGATGTGTATTTGAGATCTTCGTTCAGCATGCTGTGTCACTGTACAGTGGATGGAATAAAAAGACATTTTTTCAGTTTTATTTTTTTTCAGCAATATTTTCAGTTTTAATGCAATGCCACCATGTATTTTCATGGCGTACAAATTGAACCATTTCTCACTCTACAAATCAGCAATGCATTGCTTATTTTTTGTTTTTAACTGTTCAAATCCTTGAGTAATCTTATTTTTTCAAGAAGAGAAAGTGTTCCTAAAATGCATTTTTGTTTCTTAAAGATTTGGGACTATAAAAGACCATTCACTAAATGTTGACCTTATCGCTAAGAAAAATTCACTATAGACGATTACTTTTTAGCTTACCTTTACTATGTATCATTTTTAATATCTGCTTACATGAATAATGGAGTCTCCAAAGATCTTTACAAATGTTTTTAGCTTAAGATGTTGAAGCATGGAATACATTCTTTTCAAAAAAAAATCCTTTTCAAAAGAATCCCATAAACACTTTTTGTTCCCAAGTTCCAGTATGAAATGAAGAACAATGAGAATGCGTAAGAATTTTCATATATCTTTGCTGTAATTGAGTTGCATTAACTGATGCAGTAAACATGACTGATCATATACGATCACTTTTTCATTCTAATATACCCATTATTAGCAATCTTTTGCTAAATTTCAGCAAAATCAAAGCATATTTCGTTGAAAGTTCTCTTATTACTCATATAGAAACGGAATTAAAGATTGTTGTCAAGAACTTTTACCCACTTTCTTAAAGGTTTCTAGAATTCTTAGAGTTGATAAAACTCAGTCACTGCAAAAATATGGAAAATAAAGTCCTATTTTGAGAATCAACTACTTTTCAAAATACTTCAACAATAAAATATCACATCGCAACTCACAGGAGTAAAGAAAACCATTGATTAACATTCGCACAAAGAAAAGTAGCGGTGTACCTTTACCAGCATAAAACATAAATTTAGAACAGCTATTTCGGAGGATTGTGAGTGAAGACTATTTAGTCACAACATTTTGATGACTATGTCTTATCTTCCTATTCTTATCTTTTTTTTTCTGTTTCTTATTTTTTGTTCTTATCTTCTGGGAGCTTTGTAGCAGTACTTCGGATTTGTAGTTTTCGGTATACTATCTTCACAAAGCTACGAATTAGAAGTGCAGTGACACTGATAATGTTAATACTTCGGATTTCAAAGTTGGAAGCGACTAAATGTTTAGAAATTATGAGAATAATAAGCAATAAGGAAAAGGAGAAGTCTCAAAAATACTATTTACTGAAAAACGCCAACAATAGTGGCAATTCAACATTGAAATGAAGATCCTGTAAGTTAAGCAGTCGCACATGAGGAATCAGAACAAGGCATGATCTCTTTCCGGAAAATTGTCTATTATAAGTGCTCTATTCTTCCCATTTCAAGGTTCTCAGATTTCTAGTTTTCTGGATGGGGCTTGTTCTTATTCATATAATGGGCGGTCATCTAATAGCAATGTAAAACTGAAAGCACTAAAGAAGTCGAATTAGAAAAGATATACAATTATCACTTCTCAAGTGTTTCCGGCGTTCGGGTCACGTAGCTGTGAAATTTTAAAATTTTAATAAATGAATGGTTATCAATCCACAACATCTTTGTATCTGAAGTCCCAACTGACCAGACAAAAAATTCGGGATATCTTGAGCTAACCTGCCTAGTGTTCCACTTCACCAGTTAGTGGCTTTTTAAAAAAGTAAACTGTTGCGATTCCTCTGGCACCGTTGTCCCACACGCGCACATGAAAGAATTTTCACATCTGTCTGACAGCCGGTCGATCCTTTTTTAAACATTTCTAATTTCTACTCTCGTTCGGAAAAATGAAGAACTTTGGACATTTACATGTCAGATTTTCTACTTATGACTCTCTGAAAAAAGTCATGCATTTCTTATCCCTTTTTCTTTCACCTCATTCTCAGATATGTGCGGGACGATTTTTATGACTATATATAACGGCTCATCGCAAATTTGTTCAAAAAGGAGAATATTTTATTGTAAAAACAGGCAATCCTGCTTTAGACACACACGTGGAGAAACTGGTCCTCCAAGATTTTCCGGAAGGTGTGTTGTTTTTTCTCTTTCACCGTTTCCCTAATTGTTGAATAGTTTATTTAATCAATTGTATTCCAAATTGCTTTTACAGTTGTTTAACGTCTGGTTAGTTATTACATTATCTCGATGACCTTGAAGCCCAAGATGCATAAGGGATATTAAGAGTGGTGGAGGTACGAATGCTGTCCCTTCTTCTCTCCTCTCACCTCCCTAATTTGTTATAATTCAGAAATCAGGCGGGCCTTCTCTGTTCTAACATTGGAATGCACAGTTTCTTTACCGTTGAAAAAAGGAAAGCAGCCGAGATCACTGAAATTCATAGGCTGGTAAATCCTATTCCGAAGTATTCCGAAAAATAACTAGCTATCAATTCACAGAATTTCAGGAAGAATTGGATGTAATAGATAAACTACAAAAAACATGCTCACAACATACGATTTCAAACATGGGCTTCGTTGCTTTGCTAATTTAGACAAGTAAAACGTGTGGGAAATCCTCACGAAACTTGTTTACTTACAGATTTTAAAGATAGCAGCAGTTACCAAAATAGTGCCATAATGCAGATATGAAATCCTTAACAAATAACGCGGTGCCAATGGAAGGACGTATGAATCATCATTGCATACATATAGTAGGGATGGCTCCACATTAAAGCACGAACCCACCATTTCGTGGCCTTATCCTTCCAACAATTTTTTTGCGTCCGGTGTGTGATTTTTTATTTTTTTGCAAATGAGTTCAATTTCCAAAGTTGTCGCTTGAAACTGCTTAATTAGTTGTTCTTGTCATTGTCTTTCATCACTTCTTCATTTCTTATTAAACTTCGATCTTCCTCCCATTATTAATTGCATTTCTTCTTTTTTTACATCGTTGAAATGTTAAGGTGCATTGCAAACACATTCAAGCATTGCTAATATTGTGCATTCATATGCTCCTATTCATATCTTCCTTTTCCTAGCTGCATATTTCAAATTTGTGGAGACCATCTGTACGGGGCGGCATGACGCGAGAGGGAACTGAGAAGTGATCCCTGAGCGAACTTTTCCTCCACATATTAGTTGTAGGTGATCCAAATTTAGTATCAGAATAGACAATAGATGTTGAAAGTGTAGAGAAAAATTATTAGCAGATTACTGTGATCAAACTTTTGGAGAAGGTCAACAACGAAAGGGGAAATAGTGTTTGTATGACAGTTGTATGTATAGCTATTGCTAGAGTACAATGACCATCATATGTTACATATCTTTTCTTTCTTCACATTGCTGTAGACCCGATCGAATTACTGATAAGGTCTATTCCTACAGTGTTGATTTTCCTATTCTCATGTGTTTTTAAATTCTTTCTCTAAGAATACAATTTTTCAAATAAGATTCAGAAATATTCTCTGAAATAAATACTTTTTTCGCTCTGCTTTTTCACATGTCATCAAAATAAGTGTTAATATACTCTGTTTAATGAAGAATCAGAAATGTCTCATAAAATGCTTAAAAATGGAAGCTTAAACGATTCGGGATATACATCCTGTTAAAAAAACTGCACAATCTTCCTCACGTTTTAAAGATTTGTTGACCTACTGGTATCTCGCTACGCAATTTTATATTGCATCATATTCTGATGCTTGTTCAACTTTGCATATAATTTTAGTATCGAAGGGAAAATCCAATCACGGCTTTCTAGGATGTGTGGAATTTTTGCTTATTTAAACTTTCTAACTCCAAGAAAACGGAGCGAAATAATTGATGTACTGCTTAGAGGTTTACACAGGATGGAGTATCGTGGCTATGATTCTGCAGGTACAGGGCCAAATACAAAAAATTTCAAGCTTTTCAAAATAAAAACTGAATTTTGATAAGAAAAATTTTCATATGAGATTCTTTACTATTGTCAAGGAAAATTTTCGCGCGTATTTCACTTCATATTGTGTTAGTGATGTAACTACAGTGATTTTCAAATGACAATCTCACTGCGGTTAGAATTTGTAAATATCTCTCTCTTTTCATAACAAGAACTTTCATTCAGTTAAGTTCAAAAAGTAGATAGTTTAGGCCTTGCTGTAGATGATGGAGCTGATAATTCGAAAATTGGTGCGAAAGTAACTCTTCTGAAGAAGGTTGGTAAAGTCAGCGTACTCGAAGAATACATAAAAGGTATATACTTAGTGATTAAAGAATGCATTGATTTAATCCCAGAATTGGTATATCTTTAACGGTTATAATTATGTGCTAGTTTGTGCTGATTTAGAAATGTTTATGTAAAACTTATTTAACCTAGTATTTAGAATGCCACGCCTGTAGTGATGATATTATCTACAAAACACATTGTGGCATAGCACATACGAGATGGGCGACGCACGGTTCACCCAGAGATGTCAACTCTCATCCGCAAAGATCAAATACTCAAAATGGTATATTTTTCTTGCATCATCCATAGCTATTGAATATCACACAAAATCTACTAACAAGTATCAACTTAATTTCGAAGTATTCGTTGTTTAGCTATACTTTTCAAATCTTTCAGAATTTTTGGTTGTTCACAATGGTATCATAACGAACTATCGTGAAGTTAAGGAATATTTGGTGAAGAAAGGCCATGAATTTGAGTCGGAAACTGATACCGAAGTAATTGTAAAATTGATTCAACATATTACAAACAAATGTGAAGGAGCTAGTTTCCGTCAGCTTGTTGAGGCTACCATCCAACATCTTGTTAGTAATTTCAAAATTACATCTCTGTTCATCATAACAAACTGTTACAATCTTTTTTGAAAAGAAGGGAACGAGCTCATTGTTCTTTCTTATTCATTACTGCCGGAACCGAGTTTGAAGAGACAATCTTCATGGCAATTTTTTGCCAGAGTTTCAAATTTATGTGAATCCGTTGTGAAATGATAAAAGACCATTACATTTTAGGAAGGTGCATTTGCATTAGCATTCAAAAGCAATCGTTTTCCTGGACAACTTGTGGCGACACGACGCGGTAGCCCGCTTCTTATTGGAATCAAAACTACAGGAAGGCTGTCTACCAATCACTTTCCAGTATTTTTTAGTAAAGGTGAGCTTTCATTATTTTGTAGGGTTCCGCTTTTTATTCTTACAATTTACAAACTAACATTCAACTGCTTCTACCAATCTTTTATTTTTCAATATCAACTCTTAACGTATCCAAAAAACTGTGTTTCAAGTTTCAAAAAATTTCCAGCTCGTCGCTTTATATCTTCCGAATATGCCAATGAATCGTATATGGAATCGTCAATGGTTATCGAAACAGGATTCAAAACAAGCACGCCCATCAGGGGAACGGAAGGTACATTTTTGTAAACATCATGCAAACTACTGTTTTCATACTTTTCTTATGTTTATGTTGAATATTCGTAAAAGTGGTTTCCAGCACCCAATGAAGCGGCATTCCAAATTTTTGATTATAAAGAAGCAGAATACTTTGTTGCATCTGATGCAAGGTAACTCTTTGAATCATTCATTTACTTCACACTCTTTTATCAGATTATCTTTTCGTCGAATGTGATGAAACGGAAGTGAAATAATGCAGTAGTGTGTGATTGCAGCACTTATTTTATTCTTTGTTTTCAATTTTGAAATTGGAAGCTTTGAACTGAAGCAGAATTATTTCCTGTTAGCGAATTATATCCGTTGTTTAGCGCAATTGTTGAACATACAAAGCAGGTCATATTTCTTGAAGACGATGATGTAGCTGTGATCGAAAATGGATGTTAGCTTTTATCACTTTGTGTCCGAGCGAGGTCATAACTTCATTGATCATTACTTCTATTATTAGGGTTATACAGTTAAATAGGAATAAGGTGTTAGTTCTAAAGAAAGCGTCAGTTTTTTTTTTTTTTCGAGCGTCAAGACTCAGCTGAATTTTTGTGCAGCATTTTATCTTTTAGCGTTATCAATACATCGTGTAAAACGTGGAGATGAAATTCCACAAACACGTGAAGTTCAGAATTTGACGTTGGAACTGCAGGAAATAATGATGGGTGATTTCAAAACATTCATGCAGAAGGAAATTTATGAACAACCGGATTCTATCGTGAACACAATGCGAGGTCGTATACTTGATGATGGCACTGTTGTTCTCGGTGGCATAAAGGTTTACTTTTTCAAAGTGATGCTGGCAAATTATACGTTCTGGATTTCTCGATTAATCATTATGAATTTGAATATGCTGTCATGAACTTAGTAAGAGTTAAAACAAAGAGAAGCGAAATGTATAGCAGCATATATATGTACAAATGTTTATATTTCAGGATTATTTATTGGACATTAAGCGGTGCAGGCGACTAATTTTAGTAGCATGTGGCAGTTCATATCACTCAGCTCTTGCGGTACTCTCTTTGCAGTAAAACATTCTCAGTTACTCTCTTGTTACCACATTATAAATTGCTGTTTTTAAACTCATGGAATTGAAATCCGAAAACTTGTAGTGCCGACAAATCATGGAAGAATTAACAGAATTACCGGTAGTACTGGAATTGGCCAGCGACTTTTTGGATCGCGAAACACCGATATTTCGTGATGATGTTTGCTTTTTCATATCTCAGAGCGGTGAAACAGCAGATACTCTCAATGCTTTAAGGCTAGTATTGCAAATAACCTACACTCGATCATTCGGAGAACTTTTGTTTTTTCCTAACTGCAGAATTTTAGTGGAAGATTTTGCAGATATTGTAAACCACGGGGAGCGCTGACAATAGGTATTACAAATACGGTTGGAAGCAGCATTTGTCGTGAGACGCACTGCGGAGTTCACATTAATGCTGGTCCTGAAGTTGGTGTTGCGTCAACTAAAGTACGTATGAACTAATCGAGTAAATTGTAAATTCGAAGTTACTAAGGAGAAATTAAATTAATCAAAAAATTAAGATACGATGGTTATAGGCGTACACCTCGCAAATTTTATCTCTGGTAATGTTCGCGTTAACAATGAGCGACGATCGCATTTCGATGCGCAAGCGTCGTGACGATATTATCAACGGATTACGGCAGTTACCAGGTACACTTTTAGTTAAGCTTATTGAGAATATGGATCTTCTTGGTCAAGTTTCTACAATATTTCTCATCCCTAAATATATTCATGCCTGTCAGTAAAAAAAAAATATTCATGTCTATTCATTCATGTCAGTAAAAAAATATTCATACAAAAAAAATATTTAGCAGCTTGGCACCTTATGTCATTTCATTAAAGGCAGTCAATATTGCTAATAAGCTGAAACCTTAAGGAAAAAAGTAAGAAGTGACTTGTTACAGACCTGATTCGAGAAGTTTTAAAACTTGATGGTGAGGTACTTGAAATAGCGAAAAAAATCTACAAGGAACGGTCACTTCTGATAATGGGTCGAGGCTATAATTTCGCTACTTGTCTTGAAGGTGCACTAAAAATTAAGGTATTGTAAAGCAAATGTTCAAATTAAAGGTTCAAATTAGCTTGTTCAGTTAATTTTTTGGATTAAGAGGAATTTGTAGGAACTGTCATATATGCACTGTGAAGGAATAATGAGTGGTGAACTGAAGCATGGTCCGCTTGCAATGGTTGATAAGAATCGCAGCATCGTCATGGTCATCTGCAGCGATAACGTTTACATCGTAATTGTGGTTTATGTTTGCAGAAAATTTTTTCGAAATTGAATGAAGAGTTCCACAAAACTCGTCGAGAAAATGCATCCATATTTACCTGTAGTTGTTATTTTATTTCCAATATTTTTGGCATAAGTCTGGCTCTTTGATTTAGAAATCAGTCAACGCTCTACAACAAGTACTTGCTCGTGATGGCGACCCTATTATTATTGCGGACTTTGGTGTACCAGAGAATGACGTGAGGGGTAGGCATTCGGTGCTTCGTGTTCCAAAGACAGTAGATTGCATCCAGAACATCCTTACTGTTATTCCTCTGCAACTGCTCAGCTATCATGTTGCTGAATTAAAAGGACTAAATGTGAGTTCTGCTAAAAGGTTGCATCGTCTCATCTGTATTTGCAAACCTTCATTGTTTATAGGACTGGACTTTAAAGCGATTGTTACGCATAGTACACGGAAATTATTCGCATTTAGGTAGAGCTGCTTTTCAGGTTGATCGTCCACGCAACCTAGCCAAATCCGTTACTGTTGAATGAAAAGTGCAACAGATATGCAGCTTCCTTTGGACTAAATGGGATCCTCTTTAGATCCCTTCTAACCAGAAAATTTTTTCCAAAAATTCACATTTTTATTGTCACTGCATAACCATATATTAACTATCATCTTTGTTCCACTCTACACAGACACCAACTAAAATTCCAGTGAACAAGTGTTGTAAACGCTTACATGCTGTAATCATCCTATTATCTCGGGGTTCTTGGTCCCATACATATATGTACATATGAACTGAATTTTTACTGGTTTGAAAGTTTTCTTTAGCTTTCTAACAGCCGTCATAATTGCTTTATTAAATTCATCGTCTCCATGATATTTGAATTCCCATCGTGGCCATTTACTTTTCTCTTTATCTAGCCACTGTGGTTCGTTCCGCTATGGTTATATATATAAATCAGTTTCCCCTCCCTGCCAAAATTCGACACCTCAACATCAGTTTGTTCCTTTGCTCATCAGTTTTTTATAAAGACCAGATAAGCTGCTTAATACAGTGAAACTTTTCCGAAGGAACCTCTCATCTTTAACTCTCTACCGGATCATTTTAGGACAATTAATCGACTCACTGGATAAAGCATAATAACGCTGCAACAAACTCATTAAAAATCGGTTTATGCATCTCCCCAAAAAGACATCACTTTCATTATTGAAGGAGTCATTTAATTTTCGGAGATTAAGTAAACTAGTTAAATTAAGGAATCACTGAACATAAAAGTCATAAACAAAAGCACTTATATTAAAATGCTCTAAAACAGACACAATTTCACAGTAACTGGAAAAATATAAGGATTCGGTGTTTATTCAGATTAATTAGTCCAAAAAAAGAGGCACCATTCCCTTTAGCCTTCACATTTCTTTCTTTGCACTGGGCTCTGATCTGATGTGACCTAAATAAGGGTACAAGCTACCTCAAATCAAACAAATATAACTAACACATGATAGTAACCTCAAAAAATAAAGTGAAATTTCCATAGAATAAGGTTGTCAAAAAAATTGACTACTTTCACCAATTTACAATAAAATCCAATTTGGGAGCAACAGCAGATACCACTATGGAACGAACATGCTTTTCATAATTTAAGAAATTCACTAATTCCTACAAAAGATTAGATCTTAAAGTGTTACGTAACATTCATTGAAGTGATAGACATCCCCTACATAATATTCTAATGAAAAATTAATTAATCAGTTATTTCAATCGGACGTGTTAAAAAAAGGAAAAGTGTAAATTAATTTACACAAAATGTAGTAAAACTGGAAATAACTAAATATTAGATATAATCAAGGGAAGACAAGGAACACGACAAGGGTTCTGCCAAATAAGTACTAGCGAATTATCAATCAGAATCACACAAATCGATCACCTCACTGGGAGCAAGTGAATTTTGTCCCTTTCCTGTCTTATCTGAAACATATTTGTCAAACAAAGTCATTTTAAAAATTCATTGGAGGCACCTGAATAATATTTACGACATCTACATGGACAATATTACTGAGCTGCAAAATAATTAAAAGGACTGACATCTTGACTTGTCATAAACTGTACCGCGAGCGTCATAAACATCACCGCGCAACGACCGAATGAAAATCCCACTCGGTAAAGTCACCAGCCAGCATTTCTCATGTAGTTCAACTTTTCCTTTTTGTCCGGGAGCAGTTAAACATGGAAGCTCCATTTCTATAAAAAAACAGAAAACAAGTAGAAGTCATCAACAGAAACTGTCATACAGAGCAAGCCACAAAATCAGAGCATCCCCTTCCTTATTCAGAAGGAAGAACATACCTCTGTCAGAGATGATTTCTGTAGCATGGATGTTAGAATGTTCTTCTGATGTAGCCATAGGTTCCTCATTGTTCAAATTTTCCATGCTGCGCTCAAGAATCATTGCCATTGGTGTTGGTCTAAGTGGCATTGGATCGTGCATTTGTTGCCTAAAGACAATGATTATCTTAAGCCACAGCAATCTTAACAAGAAACTTGAAAGTTTACGATGCTGATGGCCAAATTCGTGGGAACGACATTCGTGGACCCTCAAATTCATTACTACGACCACCACCACTACGTAGTGTCCAATCATAATCAAAATCTCCATTTTTGTAGATTTGTTTTTCTCTTTCATAAAGCATCCTGGCTTCGAGCTTTTCTTCCTCGCTTAGTCGATCTTCCCTTTCCATCAGTAGGCTTTCGTGCAAGAACGGAATCTGATAAAACCAAAATCATTAATCTGAAGAAACGAAACAAATACTCAAATATCTGAGTATTATCATTTAGTATATATATAAACTAAAAACCAAGAAAAATGGATTTTACTTGAGAAAACATTTTTGAATGAGACAGAGCTGTCATCCAAAGCAAAGCATCATCAATTTGCCAAGTAGTTATGTTCCATTCTTCTGTAGCCACATCAAGTGACTCCTAAAATGATTTCTCGCATATTCATATCATATAATAACAATTATTCTCAGAAAAGGCAAAATGAACATACCTAACAGTACTTGTGTCAACAATACCCTTATTAAATCTAAAAATCTTACAATATACAAATAAATATGAGATCTTACATCGTAGACAAGAAGCTGCTCCATTTCACGCTTCGTGATATCAATGTCCATCTGCTTATCGTCTACAACTCGTTCTAAATGTAAGTGTTTAAAAAGATGTCTAAAAACAAGCAAGAAACATATGATAAACTGTTTGATTACGTTGTAATCCATTCTTTCCAATTTGACGACTAAAAATGGCCCTCTCCATGCTGTTGTCCATAATCAAACGATACACGTATGTACGCCTTTTTTGACCGTATCTGTATATACGACATACTGCTTGCGCGTCGTGACACGGGTTCCAAGAAGCATCAAAAATAATAACACGACTTGCAGAAACCTTTAAAAAATCACGCCAATTTAAAACAAACGGATAAAAGCAAGAACTACAAGAACTGAATTTTTGTATCATAATTCATGAGATATTAGAATTAGTCGCGTATGAAACATATATTGCCGACTTTTAACACCAAGATTCCATACCACACTTTTGAAAATGAATTATGAAAGTTACGAGATTTATGCCAAGCGATCCAGCCCGAGTTGATATAAGAAAGAGAAGAATATTAGGATCTTGATTAAAACGATTTATCAATTTCTCTCTTTCTGTGGCTGTGGTTGACCCATCAAAACCTGAAATTATTTTAATAATTTAAGCACTAGTCGAAAAATCGTTTCTTAAATGTTATAAACAAGATGCATTAACTATTGCGGTTTCAATTAGTTCAGTAACGTAAAACTAACGGTAGTAATTGATATTCTTTTTCCAGCGAAGCTTTTCGTTACCAACAGTTACAGAGCTCGATGTTTCAAGAAAGCGTTCAATCTGGTTGAGAGTAAGCAAACTCTGACTAAAATTGTAAGAATGAGACACACTCAAGTCTGCCACTAAAAATTGAAACAAATTTTTTCAGTAGAAAAGCAAAAAGAAATGTATTGAAATTAAATTTTTTCTTACAATAAAATCCTAGAAATACCTGAACAGTAACACCTTTTCACCATTCAACACAGCTTGTTCAATAATAGCTAACGACACCACCATTTTGTAACCATTCTCAAGAACACCAGGTTTGTATCCATGAAGAGCAAATGTAGCCTAAAACAATATATTTACATATCCTGAAAAATAAAGAATTAGGAAAAATATTATACACATGCAACATAACAAGTTTTAATGAACTGAAAGGTCCCAACCCATAAAAACTTAGATCATGCACACTGCCAAAAATAACTTAAACTTACCCAGTCGTACTTAATTCCCTTATCAAGATTAAGTTCCTCAAGCAAAGCATTAGCAATAGTGCTATGTTTCGAACGAACGCCCATTTTATGAGAAATCGCATTCACAGCGAGGTGAACAGCATTCGCACTATCATTGACAGAAAATGCTTGAAAAAATCATACCTTTTAAAAATAAGACAAAATGATAACATAATGAAACAGAATTACACACCTTCTCATAAACCAGGTCTCACCCGTCAAATCGTCTGTAGCTGCTTCTGGTGCTGCGCATTATGCATTTTTTTCGTTAATTCCGCTTTCATACTCAATTTTTCTTTTTTGGAAAACTTCATATAAGTCAAAAATTCCAACCCAGCAAAATATAAAATTCTGATTTAAGAACCGATCACAACATACATGGCGCTATTTGAGATGTCTCTTCCACTGCTAGACACATACCACCAGTGTCTTGCAAAATTGTATCCAAATCATCAGCAGAGAATTTCTCGTCAAAGAAAGATTTACTATCATAGCTAAAGCTATCTAGCGAAGACTGCAAGGTTGTCGGATCGCTTAATACGATAGGCAACGTTGACGAATCAATTAAAGCAAGCGATAAAGCTGAATCTAAAATATTTTTGAATTTATCTCATAATGAACACCAATGGATATCTGATTATAAATACCTTCTCATAAAACAGGTCTCACCCGTCAAATCATCTGTGGCTGCTTCTGGTGCTGCGCATTGCGCATTTTTTTCGTTAATTCCGCTTTCATATTCAATTTTTCTTTTTTGGAAAACTTCATATAAGATATCCGGATGATTCCAAATCTTTAATGAACATACTGTGTTACTGATATCTTTAAAATCTTAGATGGTGAAAATTTTGGAAAATATGATGTATTTTAGAAACAAAAAACAGCGAAAGGATCTCAATATAAGTAAAAAATAAACCTTTGAACAAACGGCGAATGCTTTAAGTGGATTGAAAACTGCAGTTCCGCTAACACTAATTTCGTTCTGTGCATATTGTAAAAATGCTCGGTAAAGCATTCTCTGTACCGGACTTTTACGCAATAATATAACAAATTCAGAACTCGGCGGTAGGGTGTTTTTTAACAAATGATGCGTTCGCCTACAATTTTTTTAAATTTCTCTGTATGTTGCTAAGAAGATCCTAAGATGCTAGGAATGCAAAGAACAAAATATTCGTAATTA